ACCATTTTATGAGCCGCTATGCTTCGGCTAATAACACAGAACCATTCTATGAGCCACTGTGTCTCGGCTAATAACACAGAACCATTTTATGAGCCGCTATGCTTCGGCTAATAACACAGAACCATTCTATGAGCCACTGTGTCTCGGCTAATAACACAGAACCATTCTATGAGCCACTATGCCTCAGCTAATAAAACAGAACCATTCTATGAGCCACTGTGTCTCGGCTAATGACACAGAACCATTCTATGAGCCACTATGCTGCGGCTAATAACACAGAACCATCCTATGAGCCAATATGCCTCGGCTAATAAAACAGAACCATTCTATGAGCCACTATACCTCGGCTAATGACACAGAACCATTCTATGAGCCACTATGCCTCGGCTAATAGCACAGAACCATTCTATGACCTACTATGCCTCGGCTAATAGCACAGAACCATTCTATGAGCCACTATGCTGCGGCTAATAACACAGAACCATTCTATGAGCCACTATGCTGCGGCTAATAACACAGAACCATTCTATGAGCCACTGTGTCTCGGCTAATAACACAGAACCATTCTATGAGCCACTGTGTCTCGGCTAATAACACAGAACCATTCTATGAGTCACTATGCCTTGGCTAATAACACAGAACCATTCTATGAGCTACTATGCTGCGGCTAATTAAAAAAACTGGTCAAACATATCCATGATACAGTGGTTTTAAATGATTAATATTCAAAGTCCTTTGTAAGACCACTAATCTTGGTGTTGTTTGTTTATCTCCTTTAAGTGGAATGATTTACTATTTACAAATGAAGATTATGCTTAACTTATAGTTAAAAGTTTTCTTAAATACTTTAAATCTTACTTGAAGCGTGTAAGTGTTGGTAGTTCCATCTGTATTTTGCACTACAGAATATCGAGGATCTGGTAAAATCTTAGAACTGTCTGAAGATATAAACAGATTGTTAAATGGATTGTTGTAGTTAATCTTGGCCCATAAAACCTATAAATAAAGAAATGAGTTGCCATTAGTTAAAAAAACTGCAGTTCTGCTCTTTTCAGTAGTAAAATAAACAAAATGAACTGACATATGGACTTCTATATAAACATAGAATAATTTTACTAACATATTCATAAAAATATAAAGAAAGCTGTTTTCACAGTTTTTAAAACCCTAATACTGTTTAGCTCATGCCCAACTTTCAAACCGTAGGCATAGAAAACTTGAAATGAAAACGCACACACACTCTGTGACTGTCAGTTCGCAAGATTTCCATTGCTAGCTTATTTACCCAAATATGTTTTTGTTATTGATTAAGGTAAAATAATATACTATTATTATTCTATTAGCGCAATAGGTTATGTGATATGGGGGAATATATTTGTTATTCTTTTTATTGTACTTTAACCTTTTATAATATGATAAATTAAACTCGTGGATTTTATTGCACAGTATTGGACTTCGTCATGATGTTGCTTTACCTATTCCTGTGTGAGTTACATGTAATGACATATTCCAAAAATATTGATGTCACAGCGTTTTCTGAAAGTTGATATTTGGATAAGATTTCTTAATTTCTATGTTAATAGTATAGCCTGTCTTCACAACTATAGAAAAAATAGTTTTATAACTATGGCTGCGAATCTAACACGTTTCCTGGAGTTATGAAACGTTTAACGTCGTCATTCAACCAAAACAGCAAGAAACTGTTCATCTTCCGACGGGAGATTGATGTTTTAAAAACTAATTAAATGATATATATTCCTCTGAAGAGTTCGAGGTATTTGGAAGTTCTCCTAACTACTCTCTGTATAACTGTGTCTTTAGTGTTAAGTCTTTGTTGATGACGTTCCGCAGTTCATGAGCCCTTGAAAAAATGTTTCTTTTAAAACATATGGTGCTTTAGTGATATTAATAGGCCATCAGTGCAGACAAAACAGTCTTGTTTTTAATTTGCACACCTTTTTTATTATGATAGCAGCCTTGTATCGTTTGAAACTTTTTAATTTTATTTAAATATATTTTATCGTTTATACGTATGCATTATATTATGAAAAAATATTATTAAATAAACATCGCAAACGGCAGTAATTCACAAACTACAAGCGACATTTTTAACCAAGGGACCAGATCAGAAGGTACAAACCTAGTAAGCACAACTGGAGTTCGTTTGTCAGCTGCACCCTCACTATCCTTTTAGCTTTGAAACTGAAAATTGCTAACTCACGTTACGCTTGTTCATTAAAAAAAAAGTACAACAAATCATCTACATAAATACAAAATACTCATCGGAAAAGGAAGAAATACAGTGAGGTTTAAATAAAGAAACAATATTAAGAGGTATAAAATTAATAAATTAAAAGGTTATATCAAGTTTAGCGCAGGTTAAATATTTTGAGAATAACATCACATTTTGAAATTGTTACTATAGAAGCATATTAACTTGAATCAACTCATTGCAACTTTGTTGTAATTTTCTTTCTTTACTTCAAACAATGATGTGTTGACCTTAGGGAAGATGAACATGAGATAATATAGGTAAACCTAGTACCGGGGTACTAGGTTTACATATTTTGGTAATTATGGTATGGTACTAGGTTTACATATATTTTGGAAGGGTACTAGGTTTACATATTTTGGTACGGTACTAGGTTTACATATATTATGGTAGGATACTAGGTTTACATATATTATGGTAGGGTACTAGGTTTACATATATTTTGGAAGGGTACTAGGTTTACATATTTTGGTAGGGTGCTAGGTTTACATATATTATGGTATGGTACCAGGTTTACATATATTATGGTATGGTACTAGGTTTACATACATTATGGTAGGGTGCTAGGTTTACATATATTATGGTAATATGTAAACCAACACCCTACCATAATATAGTCCTATAGAAGATTCATTGTCCCGTGTATAAATTTATGTCAAAAGCATGCCTCATAATTAAAAATAACTCGAATTTTAAAGAGGACTGCCAAACTGGGTGATTAACTATGATCTTTGGATAATATCACAAGTTTTCGCTACATACAATGATTATTTAGCTCAATGTACAGAAACAAACGTGGTAGATAGAAAAAGAACAAGAATACCTTTACCTCAATGTGATATTGATAAGGAATTCGATCTCTACGGAGAAATAACTTTGCAAGGATATCAATGGGTGATATTGATAAGGAATTCGATCTCTACGGAGAAAGCACTTTGCAAGGATATCATCGGGTGATATTGATAAGGAATTCGATCTTTATGGAGAAAGCACTTTGCAAGGATATCATCGGGTGATATTGATAAGGAATTCGATCTTTATGGAGAGAGCACTTTGCAAGGATATCAAAGGGTGATATTGATAATGAATTCTATCTCTATGGAGAAAGCACTTTGCAAAGATATCAATGGGTGATATTGATAAGGAATTCTATCTCTATGGAGAAAGCACTTTGCAAAGATATCAATGGGTAATACTGATAAGGAATTCGATCTTTATATAGAGAGCACTTTGCAAGGATATCAATGGGTGATTTTGATAAGGAATTCGATCTCTACAGAGAAATCACTTTGTAAGGATATCAACGGGAATTCGAATATTTTGAATAGGAGGTATTATCAATGGAACCGATTTGTGTAAAATAAAAATAGACGTTGTTTGATTTAAGTTGATGTACGCGCAACTGTCGCGAAATAAGTAGAGTAAATGGTGCAGAAAGTGTAATCTTTTTGAACCAAATTACATTGACAATTTTTAAACTTTCACTGATGTACGTGTACATATAATCTGACACTAGCACAGAATTGAAAAAACCAAGACAATTGTACATTTCACAAATACATCATTTATTCACGACCACGACCATCATCAGGTGATGATGCCTTTACTGGCGAAACCATGGTCGTGAATAAATGATGTATTTGTGAAACGTACAGTTATGTTGGCTTGTCTCAATTCTGTAATTATGGAGTTTCACCAAGTACCGACGGTTTCAAGTATCAATCTGATATTACATTCGTCACTAAGGACGTAGATACAAATATGTCTAGCAAAAACAAACTGCATCATGCTCGTCTTTAAAGTAATTTATAAAATCAAAGCTTCATTTTAAAATGCATACAAGACTAACTTAACATATCAGGTAATGTATTAAAGTTAATGGGTATAGTTTATAGCTTTCTATGTGAATTTCTTTCAAGGGGTACCATACATGCACGGAGTTCCCTTAGAATGTGTTTTTATGTAGCTCACTCGCACCCTAACCTGACCAAGTTTTTGTTAAGTAAATCTGAAATTCAACTAGGTGTTAGAATTCATTTTCGGTACATGACAACTTCATGAGCCTCGTAAACTTCAAAGTGTATTGAAAAGACACTTCTGATATGTTTAACCACATTGAGCTAATAGGTTATCTATGTCAGAAGAACCAAAGATGTTTCTAAAATAATGAATCACTAAAATTGGATGCTGAGTAACTGTTGCATGTGCCCTGTGACGAATACTTGTTATGTAAGCATTTGGAAGATTTTATGAGTTTTTTTTTATATACGTCCTTTTAGAATTATTCATGTATCCAAGATATGTTGTTTGGGTCTATTTTTTTGAATAAGCAGTGTTTGTTTGTTATTAAGCGAAAAACTATACAACGACTGTCTGTGCTGTGCCCACCATGGGTATCGAAAACAGTTTTCAGCGTTATAAGTCTTCAGATTTGCTGCTGAACCGCTGGCTTGTTTGGTTTGTTTTGAATTTCGTGCAATGCTACACGAGGGATATCAGCGCTAGCCGTCCCTAGTTTAACAGTGTAAGACTAGAGGGAAGGCAGCGAGTCTTCACCACCCACCACCAACTCTTGGGCTACTCTTTTACCAACGAATAGCGGGATTGACCGTCACATAATAACGCCTTAACGGCTGAAAGTGTGGTGGGGATTCGAATCCGCGACCCTCAATTGCGAGTCGAGCGCCTTAACTACTTGACCATACCGTTAATTAAGTAGTGAGCATAATGTAATACTTTAACATGTTTATATCGGGAGAATTCTCTTAAAAATATCATTTATGAAATTGACTTAAATCGCCTTACTTCACATAATTAGTTGTATGTCATTGAAATCATGTAAGGTCAGAGAAGGTGCAGTTAAACCAGAACGTTACTGATATAAACATTTAAATTAATTATCAAAGGGTTTAATCATACTTGTCATAGACATTGGTATCAGGCCCACTGTATTTTTAACAATGAATACTTTATCTAGTCCCTCATGGATTTTCAAGAATTAGAAGAGTGTATAGTAGTAGTACTTTTACCATATCCATTGCCCATGATGCATTTCGCTCAATCCAGAGCTGATCAGGCCAGTTGGGCTTATATAAATAGTCTTTCGTTTATGCTGTGTTCCAGCCGGCCTGAAGAGCTCTGGATTGAGCGAAATGCATCATCGGCAATGGATATGGCGAACATAGTGCGGTTGAAATATTATTATTATTATTATACACTCTTTTAATTCTTGAAAAATCCCTGAGGGATTAGGTAAAAGATGTAGTATTAAAGAATATAATAGGCCTAATACTAATGTCTTATGACCAGTATAATTAATTATAATCACATTTCGCCAGGTTATTAAAGGCGTTAACACCATATCAAAATATCAAATTTAGTGATTTTTGTGATAGCTACTAGGAATATCGTATATTTCCTGTATTGACTGTTTAACTCTTATAAGTGTATCTTTCCGCGGTTTGAAATTATTCCTTCAAAATTGTTATGTGCATTTACATTCGTTTCTTGTTATTTCACTCGGATATGGTGAGACAGAACACAGAAGGTTACATTATCCTCAATATCGGCACTGAATGTTAGGAGAAAAGAGAGAGAGAATTTAGATACTAGATCCAATTATATCCAGTGCTGAACTCAAGAGATTCAGAATATTGTTTATTTATTTTATCTCAAAGCCACAAAATGGGTTACCTGAGTTCTTTCCTCCGCGGGGAATCGAACCCTGGATCTTACCGTTGGAAGTCCGTTAAATATCTGCTTTTTTTCCATTTAAGCACTTGTAGTTTTTCTACGACTTTTTACAAGTTCTTCAAACTTGAAGTTTTCATTAGTTTCCAACGTCTATGATTCTTCATTGATTTTTCAAGTTGCTCTCACTTGAAAGCAACAACTAACGGTTGAAAGCGAAACTATCCCAAACAGTTTTCTGACATAATTAGAGGACATAATGTAAAAATAAGTTTTTATATTTTTTGCAGTGCTCACGATAGTAGTAAATTATATGCTAATAAAATGCCACTGTAACTTGAAAATAAATGGTGTCTCAGATCTGGAGAATATATTGAAACTTTGTTTGTACATTTGTAACTTTTTTTCAAACAGACGATTATATCCGTTCAATATTGTTGAGGTGATTTATTTTCAGTCCTATCTCTATTAACTGGTGTGGTTTGGTTTGTTCGAATTTAAGCTCAAAGCTGCACAATGTGCTATCTGTGCTTTGCCCACCACGGGTATCGAAACCCGGTTTCTAGCGTTGTAAGTCTGCAGACATACCGCCGTGACTCTGGGAGGCTAACTGGTGTGAATTAGGGGCGTAACAGTAATGAGAATCAATACGTTTTTTTTAAGTTACTATTAAAAGACATCCAAAAAAAGTAGGACCGTTGCCTCCTCGAACCTGAAGAACACTTTTTTCAGGACTTTTATGCTCTAAATCGTGTTGTATTTCTTCGTGTTGTTTTGCGAAAAATTGTATTAAAGGCGACCTAAGTAATCTCGTATAACAATTTTAAACGAAAAGTAGTCATATGGTTATTTAAAAATATTAACATTGAGGGAAACATTAAATTAATTAACATGCGTATTGTTCAAGCAGATGTGTTTCGACAAGTAATTAGATGTAGGATGATAAAAAACGTTTTTAAATAAGTAAAATTCAATATAATACATGCCTAAAATAAACTTAAACGATTAATATTACGTGACTCTCAACGTTCAATTACTCAACTGGATTAAGCATGATTTGTTGAAAACTGCTATCGATCCAAAGTTGTTTACTTTCATTTCAGAGAAACGCTTAGAAAGCATTTCATAAAGCTAAACTAAGTTAAATAGTCCACTCTTTGATTTACCAGTTGAGAATCAAAATAAAAGAAGATATATATCAGCAAAATATCCCAGAATTTACAATTAAAAAACATAAATTCGAGATTGAAACTATAAATATCTTAAGTAAACATCTTATAATGCGAATAATTTAAACAAAACATATAAAAAGTAGACAGAATTATCTTTACAGACCGGATACTGTGATGCATATTCAACAGAACATTCAAGATGAACGTTATCTCCGATGTTCGCCACAACTTCCTTGGTGATGAAGGATATGGTTGGGTTCTGTTGCGCGTACACTGAAAAGGAAATTCATAAACTGATGAATTATTTAGTTAAATAGATAAGTATCATCCTTGCTATCATCCAACCAACTATCTTACTAATTCTAGTTCAAAATAACAGCTATTACTATCCATTATATTAAGTATTTTGACACTAATTAGAATACACAATTTGCTTCCTTCAACACATTTCTTAATATGAAACGAAAACATCGAATGATGTAAATAGTAAGTAGAACACCTATTGTTCTAAAATATACTGTGAATGATGTAGATAGTAAGTAGAACACCTATTGTTCTAAAATATACTGTGAATGATGTAGATAGTAAGTAGAACACCTATTGTTCTAAAATATACTGTGAATGATG